TGGGGATATAGGACCTTATGGTAGGCAAGTGTGTGAAATGTCTGCTAAAAGCACAGATCCAACCATGTTTCTGGGGTTATGTAGGTTGACCAGGGCTGCCTGAAGAAGTTAAAATAGTGCTGAGGTTCGTGGTTGGGATGAAGCAGACTTGTTGGTCCCATGCACAGTGGACATGACCTTGACAAGGCCAATGAGAGCCTCTTTCTGCACAGCAAGCTTGCGCCCGTCTGCATAAAACAAGTACTTTTCATTCTCTCCACAGGTTATGGTGATGAACTTCACAACATGACTTATTATTGTGACTCATTTATCAGTGTGTGCCTGAGGAGGAAAAAAAACTGTGTTTTTCGCATGCCAGGGGTCTGCCCTGGCAGAAGCTTCTGCTGTTTGAGAATACCTTGATCTGAAGAACTCATGCTCCGTAGATCTACCTTGAATTATATTAAAAGCTGAGAAGTGTCATTTGCTTCATTCATTGACTTAGTCATTTGTTCAGCATCTATTGAATGCTTGTGGCGGGGGGTGCTAATGGTTACTTTACTAAGAAGCTTACAGATGTGAAAACCCTATCCAGGCTGGTGGTGTCCACATATCTAAGAGCCACATCTGAGCAAAGGCTTAAAAATAAGGAGGAATTATCCAGGAAAGGTAGATATGGTATAAATATATTCCAAGGTGTAGGAAAAATAAGCAAGGTCTTTATGTCGGAAGTATCCCTCCCATAATATTAGGGGCGATCTGGAAGCTGGATCATGGTTGTGAGGAAATCTGGGGAATGAGAACCAAAAGGTGGGGACTTTAGAATCTCAAGATGTTTCAATTTGCCTTGTGAGCAGAAACACGGAGGAACTCGTACTAGAAGTAGGAAGCAGGACTATCAGGTAGAGAGACGAGAAGCACATATGTAAGTGTCAGGAGTTGCAATGTACGGGTCAGGATAGTGACACAAACATGGCAGGGAGGTTAGTTAGCTATAAGACATTCAGGAGATGGAAGCAGATAGGGTCAGTCTTTGGATGTGGAAAATCAGGGGAGGAAGATTTCTACTTTTGGCTCATTGGATGATAAATGGTCCAAGACTTCTGGTCCAGGTTTTTCAGGGGAGATCAAAGCTGGAGGCAGTGACTTGCCAGACATGGCTGCTCACTCTGCGTGGTAGGTAAAGCCTCCTTAGCCATGAGAACACTGGACCAGATGGAGGGAGAATAGAGGGGACAGAGACAGGGGAGCACCAGCTTTCAAGGGTGGACATGGCCAGAGCCAAGGAGACCCTGCAGAGTCCAAGTCAGGGGTGGGTAATGCCTAAAGTCAGTGACGCCCGGGATGCCAAGGGGAGAGCAAGTGAAATTCAGCCAGCAGGTGAGGGCACAACTGGAAGCATCAGCACCACCATCAACTCAAAATTGCCAAAGATTCCTGGGATGAAAACCATTCTATTTACAATGGCAACTCTGTTGTCTAGTGCAGCAATGATACCTAACTTAAACCTAGAGCATTAAATAATACATTGGTCTGCCCTCTGATAATCTACCTGCTCAGTGGGCTGATTCCAACAGGAGGAACTTTCCCTACCCATCCCATGTTATGAAAGCAGGTAGGACAGGACTGTACACACTGCTCCCCTGTCTGATGAATTTCCTAGAGCTTTGGGGACGGCAGAGCCCTCTAGGAGAATGTATCTCTGAGTCACGTTTTTATTTATTTATTTATTTATTTATTTATTTATTTATTTATTTTATTTTTTGGTACTGAGGATTGAACTTGGGTCCTTGCACTTGCGGAGCAGCCACTGGAATCACTGAGCTAAATCCCCAGCCCTCTGAGTCACTTTAAATGAATGAATGTCAACATTTTTAGCTCTCCTTGCTTTTAATTCCTTCCTGTAAGACATATTGTGGGGTGTTCTGGCTTTACAACTCTGTTTATCACTTCACTGACCTCAAATTTAAGGCAACTGAGTATTTATTAAAGCCAGCCCTGGCAGAGTAACTCAGCGCCACTGATTAGGTAATGTATACTCATGTATTTAGCCTGACCCAATGTTTCTTTCTGTTTATGACTCTCTTAGAAGGTATTCAGAAACAACTTTCTTTCATTTATACTAGTAAACCTTCAGTACTTTCATGTGCAGGTAAATAACACTCACTGGCAGAAACTCTGGTCTGTGAGGTCTTGGCTAGCCATGCACACAGGTGCATGAGAGGTTGACAAGTTATGTCTTGAGAAAGGCAGTTACCCACTAGACGCCTGCACTATCAAGACAGATTCATTAGCAAGGAAAACTAAGATCTGGGTGTTCAAGGTATTTGTAGCTGTGAAAACTTAGAGAGAGGACCCCATTCCAATGCCAGGTCCAGTTCCTTAGTGAGCGCTGCATTGTTCATGTGAGACTGGGTGAGTCCACAGGTTTCACCAAGGCTGCCCTAAGTGACTGGAGAATCACTGAGAACACTAGCAGGACCGTTGCAAGAGCTGTGCTGCTTGATGAGGGCAGCCAAAGAAGTTGCCCATTGCTTGGACTCAGCACAACCACAGGGGCACAGGACTCTCCACCAGTGATGAGTTTGGAGAAGTGGATGCCACTGACTTCACCTTAAACTTCTCAAATTTCCATTTCGTTTACCTGTTTCAGGTCAGAGCCACTGGGTCACCCTCACTTGGCTGTGAGTTCCAGATCCGCAGCCTTTCTGGATCAGCCCTTTCCAAAAGCAAACCCCCACCTGGGCCTCTGTGCAAGGGGCTTGGAGATTTCCTGATAAGCTTCTCCTTATTCAGACCTGCACTCCTTCCCCTGCTCCCAGCCCACCCCCCTGAGTTTGTAAGTCCCTCACATCCCTCTGCCTCCCTGGGCCTCTCAACACAGGTGATTTTTCTTCCTTTTGATCAGCTTTCATTTTTGCAGGCAGTCAAATTGCTTTACTTTCTGTGCCTTCAGGGCCATACATATAACCACCTTTGCAACATTTAAACAAACCTACACGTCAATTTAAATGCTCATTTTCAGAAAAGTTGCAAGTATAATACACAGTTCCCATATATTCTGCAGCATTTAATTATTATACTATAATAGTGAAATATTGCATTATCATCATCATTTGTCCTAGCTAATGAACTAATGTTGCTATATTATTAACCAAACTTGGTTGACATTTGGATTTCATTAGTTTTTCCTACTATCCTTTTCTACTATAAGATCTCATCTAGGATACCAGTTCAATATCAGTCATCATTTATCTTTACTTTCTTGGCTTTGGAAAAGCTCTCAGGTTATACGTGCTTTTCAGAACTTGGCAGTTTCATATAATAATGAAACAGTTAATTCTGTAAAAACTGAGCTTGTACTTTCATGAACTCAAAGAATGAAAACACAAACCAAAAGGAGGAAGTTAAAAGAGTATTTATTAATATAATAAGAATAGCTCCTGGGTTTTGAATATCTAGGACCAGATTCCTAATGGTGGTCTGGATTGTGTCCTTTGTCCTGTCTATCTGAATATGCAGAGCAAGGAGCGTGTGCAGGGTATCCTTTCAAAGAAAGGGAACTCAAAGGATACTGATTATTTTGTATTTCTAATGTTCTCCAAGTCAAGTCCAGAGGTAGGGAGGGGCTGTCAACTAACTTAGCATACTCATAAGAACCTTTCATCCTGGGAGGAAGGGTCCTGTCTCTCCGTACTTATCCTAACCTTTTATCTTTTGTTGTGTTTGTTTTCACATTTCCAAGCTTAACTAGCTGCTTGAGTTAACTTTACTTGGTGTACATTACTTTCTTTCATCCAACTCTTTCTTTAGGCTGTCCTCATTGCTTACTCACAGGTTTAATAACTAACCTGCTGCAATACTATTGAGACTTGTAGAATATGCCTCAATTTCCGTATCTCTGATATGTTTCTCATGATTAGTTTGAAGTTATAAATAATCAAAAGTACTCAGTGAGGTGGTGATACGAGGCCAACGAACCCCTCCATCTCCTTGAAGATAAGTTTGAATAAACCCTTTTTACCAAAATACATATCCTCCTTTGATTTGATCAGTGGCAAGTAAATGAAGTGTATGTACATAAATCTAAATGTAGGAACCTAAATGGACAGTAACAATTTGAGTTCTGCAAAGCAAAAATGACCAGAAATGGTAATTTTTTTGTTGTTGCACCAGGGATTGAACTCAGGACTGTGTGCTTGCGAGGTAGGTGGTGGCACCACTGAGCTAAATCCCTGGCCGAATGGTAAATATTTTTAATCAATTCAGAACACTGAAGCAGCCATGACAGCACAAACATCCACAGACGAGGGCTTCCAGAATTGCTTCAGACAATGGAAAGAATGGCTGGATAAGAGGGCATTTTAGGGGGATTAGTGACAATGTGTCCTTTTTTCTAATTTTTTTTTTTAATTTAAGCCTTTCAACTGTGTTCTGAGCACACCCTTAGACTGTCAGTATCATTTGTAATGATCGCACCTCGATGCTGTGGCTCAGCCACTTCTTTTCCTCTGAAAAGCTCCCATTTGTAAAATTCAAATCTCAGCTGTGTGGACAAGGGTTCCTTGGGTCCTAAAGAGATGGTTCCAAAACAATTTGCCATTTGGAAAGGCATCTTTGGGGAGAAGAAAATAATCACTGTCTGCTAAGACGTGGTAATCAGGGTTGGTTTCGATAATCTCTGAGTTTTGATTCTGTGGGTTGTGGGCTCGGTGACAGCAGTTCATGACTGAGTAGCACAGGGCACAACACAGAGAAGTGAGATTAAAATTTGCTGGACTCTTTCTGTGCATGTCCAACACGCATGCACACACACATGTATGTCACAGAACTTTTACCACAAATCAGATTCAAAGACACCCACATGATGTAACTTGCAGAGGTCTTGGAGAGCAGCCACTCACAGTGAGATGAAGAGAAAGGCTGTCCCTGTCCAAATCGATCCCTCCGCTCCCCTGTGTAGCCCGGTGGCCTGTCACTCAGGCTCCCCCTCAGCAAGACCATGCAGGGTGCACAGGGGAGCAGTGGAGCTGCCTTTATTAAGCAGGAGTCGGGGGAGCTGAGCTCCTTGAAACCGTCACCCTCAGGGCCTGGGTGCTACAGTTACAGTCTGCAGCAGTGTTTGTGGCGACTCTTACACTCCGCAGGCAGGATGGAGCAGCCGTGGGTTTTTTGGTGCTTGCAGGCACCACCCATTTTCCCACACTCAAGGTAGATGTCATTTCTTCTGTACCCTGCAGAGAGAGACAGCAAAGATTTAAACTCTTGTTCAACCAAATATAGAATTTACCTAGGTTAGCAGGGGTGGGCAAACCAATGCCGAGAGGGCCAGAAGAAGCCACCAACTTGAGTATGACCTGGGAAATTAGAGTGGCTTTCACACTGGTAAATGTTTGAAAAAAATATTCAGAAGAATAATACTGGTGATATATTAAAATGATATGAAATTTAAATTTTAGTGTCCCTCAATAAAATTTAGTAGGAAGAAAGCCACTCTCACACATGTACACATTATCCATCGCTGCTCTAGAGCTAAACGCAGACACGGGCTGTTACGGCAGAGTCCTTATGGTCTGATTCTTTACGAGGAAAATTCGTGGGCCACTGTGACACAGGCTCCTTCCTTTTCCGATGAAGAAACTCTGACTCAGAGAAAGCACTCAGTTCGACTGCGTCACAAGATTAGAATTGTATTTCACTTCCGCTCCCGTGTTCGTCAGAAAGTTTCCTAAAGTGCCTTCCTCCTCCTTTAAAGAGCAAACCTCACAAGTGTGCAGCACAAATTAGGTGATAAATCTCGGCGAGTGACTAACCAGAGGGCTGATCTGACTGTGAACACCGGGTCTCCCTTACTCTGTGCGGTGTGTGGTCTCACAAGCTGTGAGGCCCTAAATGTCGAAGTCGTGGCCCACAACAGGCACTGGTGCTCTGGTGAGGGAGTCTGGGAAGGGAACGATAGGTGATGTGGAAGGCGACTAGAGCCCTTTTGTTTTGAGAGCAGCGGAGAGTGGAGAGAACCTGAGTCATCTCTGTGGTCCAAAGAGCCGGAGAAGAGATGGCAGAGCACAGCAGGAAGGCAGGAAAATGAGAGGTCTCCATCGAGTCGGTGGCTTCTCAATGCACAGCGTGCTCAGGCAGGAACTGGGGACTTGGCCTCCGATTCCTGCCACCATAACTAGTGCCGTGGGGGAGCAGATTGTTTTCATAGAAAGGGAAGGATAAATACAGACCCGTAGGTGTATGCCCAGTCGGTATTTACATCCACAACTTTCCAGTAAGTAATCTCTCAGTCTGCGCCTGTGCTCCACCCCATCTAACCAAATCTATCATCGATCACATCAGAGTGCTGGACATATACACGCCTCACTTTATGCTTTCTTTATTTATACCCAATAGCATTCTCTTCTGATCCTTAATTGGGGACAGCCATGATGCTGCTTGGTAATGAATTTTGAACAGAGGTGGCATGTCCTTTCAGAGTGGAAATATGCCCCTAACTGCCAGCGTGAGATTCCTCCGAGGTCTTTCCTTTGCAGGGACCAGCAACACCCATGGCCGCAGGGGCCTCATTAGCTGGGTATGATCAGCCCCAGAGAGCAGAGAATCCTTGTGGCCTTGATGCATTTACATCACTGACCAGAAATCGATGGCCTTTTCCAAATGCTGAGTTTTGAATACTGCTTTCACTATAGTGCTGCAGAGCCGGAGCCAACATATGTAAAGTCATCAGGTGAAATCGGGACTTCTTAAACTTGAATTACAACAAAACATTAATAATCTTGTAGAATACACATGTGCCAAATATTGTCTGAGTCATACACAGAAAAGTACTCACTGTTTATGTAAAACATAATGAGTACATTTATTTTCAGGAGTTGTTGGGTATTTAGTAAGAACATTGTCTGCTGTTCTAATTCAACAAATGCTTACGTCTGGAATTCATTACGTTTAATCTGTGAGGCTTGGAACCTGTTTTCCCATTTCTAAGTCTCACATGTGAGGCATCTGTATACTACACCACCGGGAGGAGGACATGTGGGATAGCACATTCAAAGTCCGATTTTAGTAAGTAAAAGGAGGCCAACATTTGCTATAATTACTACTCTTTAGTTGCTGTTTTGATTCACATGGAAATGCTATGTGATCTGTGGGGCCAGCTGTAAATGTAATAGACTACATTGAGAAACTATGTCAGCAATCTGTTACAACTCATCGGAGATAATCTCGGGAAAGTCTTTTTCTCTAAGCATTTCTTTCCTCGTCTGTGAAGTGCTGTGCCTCCCCAGCCCTGGTCTTGTTCTCTTACGTACTGTGGTGCCTCAGTGGATTGTGCACCGACGTGGTGTGCTGGGGATTTGCAGCTCACCTGATGCTGTCTGGATAAGGCAAACCAGAAGAACAAAGAGAAGGGAGAGCAGCCTCATGATGGCAGTGAGTCTCAGGGATGTAGGAGGGCCCGGAAGTGTGTGAGGCTGGCTTGATCTTCAGTGCACAGGGGCCACAGGAATCTGGAAGAGATTGCACAGCTCAGCTGATGAGGAAAGCTTATATTCGGAGGACTGATACTCAGCTTAGGGCCTGAGAATGTCTAATGATTGAAACTGGGATTACAATAGATCCAAGTTTCTTCCTGTGAAAAATGAAGAACTTTACAGAGTTGGATTTTTACTTTGAGTAATATTTTTGAAAACTTTACAAAAGAATGTTATTTGTGAATCCCCATTTCATTCACCCATCCTCCTTATGTTTTCAGCTTTCCTTTAAAAAATACAAAATAAATAAAATAAACCCTCCCTTATTAGGATCTATAAAAGGAGAGGCGGGTTTGTACATGGAAATTACCTTCTCTCCTTATTCACTCTCAATTACTCTTTTGCTGCCCAATTAAAGGATGGACTCTACCACGGGCAAGGGAAGCTCTGATGGTGAGGAGGTCCTTGCACAGACCCCAGGCATCAGTGAGTGGGGAGTTTCTTAGTAGCCTTGTTGTAGCAATACTGTCTTGCAGTAAAAAGAGATAAACAGCAGAGTGCCTAGAATAACCTACTGACTTTTCTCTTCCTCTCTTCTCCTTCTTCTTCTGTTTTGCATTTTCCCCCTAAATTCTGTCTCCCTCCTTCACTATGATGTGAATTTCTAAAATAACAAGCCCTGTTTTATTCTCTCTCACACACAACACCCTGAATAGTAGCTGGTATAGAGAATGTACTAAAATACATGGTTTGAAAGCTGAGTACATTTTATGAGGGACTCAGCAAATGGATGAATAAATGGCCCGTGGAGAAGGAAGAAAGGAAGGGTTAGGATCTGAACATCTGTGCATCTCCAGAGTTTATGTGTTGTAACATGAATCCCCAGGGTGATGGCCTTAGGAGCTGAGGGCTTTGGATGGAATGAGATGATCTAGTAAGAGCCCGCAAGAATGGGGTCAGTGGCCTTAGGAAAGAGCCAAAGATGCTCATTCATTCCTTCTGCCATATGAGGAGACACCAAGAAGGCATCATCTACGAGCAGAAAGCTCTCAACAGATGATCTGATCTTGGAATTCACGAACTCTAGGAGTCTGAGAAATACACTTCTGCTTTTACAGATTGCCCCGTTGATGGTATTTTGTCTTGAAGGGACTAAGACAAGAAGGAAGGATAAAAGGAAGAAAGACATTGGAGCGATAGGGAGGAGGGAACTCAGGGACCCAGGCCTTTCCATCTAAAGTTGGTCCCTGGTCTTGAGAAACCAATGGAACTCTCAAGTCAAAAGTAGATTGTGGCTGATATTCAGAGATCAAACAAATCACAGTGTCTGAAGTAGAGAGACAGAGGGAAAGCTAACAGTTAAAAAAGCTCTGGAGTCAGAGACACCAGAACGTAGTTCAGTCTTTGGTTTACCACTCACCAATTGTACAGATAACATTTTATAGCCACAGCTCCTCCTGTGTTCACTGGAGATGATTATTTTGCCAACCTCCTTTCTTGCTATCAGAAAATAGGTTAAGCAGGTTTCCATGGCTGACCAGAAGCACTTCCCGCAAAAGGTCCTGCTGTATCTAGTATCACCTCCAGGACCTACAACCCAAACACTGGCAGGGGCTTTTTAATTAATGGGTCCACGAAATTACACAGGGTGTTCGTGTCCTTCATCCTTTGAAGCGTGAAAATTTGAAAGGAAATAAATCTAAATTCTCCTTTTTAAATTCATGAAATTAGACATTTGTATGGAAGGTGTGGAGATTTTTGTTGTGGAAAACAGTTGGTCTTAGAATAAGTGTTTAGCGATACTCAAAAATCCAAATTGAATTTTAGTTACTAAGTATTACACCTTGATAAGTTGGCATAATTTCATGAAGTAATAATACTCTTCTTATCACTCTAGTGAGAAGATGTTCTTAAATACTTGTTATACCCCAGAGTACTGAAGATGCTGTTTTAGTTCATACAAGTTCCCCATGAGGTAGCTGATGCCAATCATATTCCGTTCATAACACTTACAGAATTATCACACATAATTTGCAATCCCAAGGGGGACCGGGACCTCAAGAAGGCTTTTCTGGTCACAACAAAATCAACTCATTGTGTCTTTATTAAACCTTAAAGACACCAGGATAAATTCAAATTATTTTTTGAACAAAGTTGAAGTATCAATAAAGACTTCTTTAATATTGCAGCCCAACTGCTACTGGGCTTCTGGGGGTCCCGGAGAGGACCCACTAACCTGCACTATGCCTCTGATCACCTGCACCCACTCGTTACTCCTTCACAGACCTCACAATGCAAAACTCCTCCACCTTCGCCTTGGGAACAACAGCGTGTGCCCAGTATATGAACTAAGCTCACTTTTGACATTTTCTCCTGGCCCAGAAGTGACTTAGGCATAAAAACTTCTCCACTAAGACCTCTCCATCAGGAGAAATGTATTTAGTTTAGTGATCTGTGTGGCGGTCCAGCTGTCACAACACGAACATGCCTGAGTCGGGGAGTGAGGATTGAGAAAGGAAAGAACACTCAAACCAGAGCGGAGACGAAGAGAAGTCTGGTTTATTTCGCAGAAACAGCTCCTTTTATAGGTTCACAGCAACAGGAAGCTTTTAAGGGCACACAACAACAAAAAACACCAAGTCATTGTTTTTCAAAGACCGGATTTCCTGACTCTTACTGATAACATCAGATCTTCGGCTAACGAGCTTCCTGTTATGTCAGGGTGAGTTCCTGACTCTTACAGATAACATCAGATCTTCGGCTAACGAGTTTCCTCTTATGTCAGGGTCAAAGAATCAAAACAAGCTTAACAAACAGTTTCCTTGAAGAGTAGCAAATGCTGATGCCTTAATTATACAAGAAGAAGTTATTTTCCAAATGTCAAACTCCAGTGGGCCATGACTGGGCCCCGACAGATCTGGAAACTAAAAGTCAAGTGTTTACATAAAAAAAATGAGTCATATTCAGTTCATTATAGAAGCTTTGAGGGTTTTATATCTCCTATCTTAGAAACACTAAATTTATAACAATTATGAAGATAATCCTAGTATTTTGGTTCATTCAGGCTGCTAGCACAAAGTTCCTTAGAGTGAATAATATACAAGGAACAGAAAATCCACTGAACACAGGTAAGGAAACTGGGGAAACCATGATCAAGAAACCAGCTGATCTGGCTTCCAGTGGTCACCTGTTTTCATAGAGACGGCTCCTCCTGTGTCCTCACAGGGTAGAAATAGCCAACGTGCCTTCTGTACAAAGGCACTGTTCCATTCAAGAATCACTTCCTTAAACCCCACCCTTTAGTACCGTGATTAGCATTTGTGCTTCCATGTGAATTTCAGGCAGGAAACAAACATTCAGACAGAAGCAACTGATGATACTGCTGACAGTGAAAAGACACACACAAACCTTCATCCACATTCCTGTCTCCTTGGCGGGTACAGTGAAGAGAGCCCCTCAGCTGCCTCCAGTACAAAGTCTCTGGGAAAAGCTCACCGTGTGGTTGTTCCTCCACTGTGCACAGGCTGAGTGCTCCCTCCTGAGGCAGGGGCTTCTGAGAGCAGGCACCCAGAACACATGACTGTGGGGTCACAATGGGTGCGGGGAGCTGTGTGATGTTATAAGAAGTGCACTGTGATGCCACTGGCCGAAATGAGATCTGTGTAGCATGAAGGGCAAGGAGGCCAAGAGGGAGTGGGGGCTGGTACACACCCACGTCAGGGGTTTTCACTGAAGATCTCAGCAAAACAAGGCAACAGCTGAAGGGTGGGTGATGCAGTGTTAAGGAAGAGGGGCTCGTTTTAGGCTCACAGATTCAGTAGGAGGACATGAGAGGAGAGGTGGTGACAGGGGCATCGCCGGAGCCATATTCTTCCAGAAATGGGAGAGAGAGCTCCGGATCCCGAGTGGGAAGGGTGGCCACTGCCTGGAGTACGGACAGCTCTCCCTGGGACCCAGCACCTCCCTGTTCACCTACAAAGCAACTTCCGTGCTGCCGAAGTCAGAAATATATTCCTTCCACACAACAGCCATAGTACAACACCCAGGAACACTACGATGGTAACATACGCAAAGATTTCATAGGGTAAAACGGACCCATTAAAAATGACTAAAAATTCCAATAATGATGATGTTTGCAAATGAATAATAACATCAAATTACACTTGACACCTTTGAATAAGAGATTGTGAAATAAGCAAAAAGTAAAGAACAAAAAGGTAAAAGGGAGGCCTATGATATGAGATGGGATTCGGAGGGAGTGAATAATACAAAGAGTTGAAAAGATAAGAGCTTAAGAGGGAACGTTCCTTATTATTAATGTGTATAAGAAGTGGAGTAAGGATTTTGGAAGGCATGAAAAAGCTTGAATGTCAAGAATTAAATTAGAGAAAAGAAGTAGCTAGAGGCAGCACAACAGTGAAGATCCCTGACTGTGAAAAAGGAGAGGCTGCCTCAAAGGGAGCTCCTTTCCTGGTGGAGGTCTTCCTTTGGTACCTAGAGGCCCTGTCACTCGCTGGCACAGAACCTAGAAAAACTCCCCACCCCACGGGGATTGCCTCTTTGCTGGCAGAAAATTGGGGGCAAAAAAGGTGCAAGCAAAGTATCCTGGCATTTTCTGAAAAGCATGACAAGATCAGAGGGGACAGATGCTTAGGGATGGAAGGAAAGCTCAAGACGCGGCCACCACTGTGAGATCCAGGGAGCAGCCCAGTCTAGAGGCTGCCCCGGGAAGGGCCAGCTGCAGGAACAGGAAGGCGCCCAAGCCGGGCCTCATCAAAGCCCCACCTCTGTCAGGTGTAGCATAGACCTCCCTTCACCCTGGTCTCCTCATGTGTTCTCTTCCTTCCTTCTCTTTCCTGCCGACATCTCTCTCTCAAGCTGGGAGTCAGTTATCTTGGGGCTCTAGACTAGTTTTGATATCACAGTCCTGTGATGGACAGAAGCTAACCATCTTTCCAGCTCTGCATCTGTTAAATAATTAGGGTAAATGCTTTCACTTCTCCTTCCCTCTCCTTTAGTCCTCTTCTAACTTTAACTCTTCCCTGGTTTTACTCAACAGATATTACTGATCAATTTACTTTTACCCAACCACGGTACTAGGCATTAAAACATCAAAGTAAGCTTCAAGACATGAGTACCTCATTCCACAGGACTCACTGATGGCAGTTCTGACCCTGACCAAACAATTACACCAAGGAATAAATAAGAACAGACAGTGGAGAACAAGCCACTCGGGCATTGTCAGCTTCTGTTTGAAAGAGTCTTGAGGCGTCCATGTCCTGAGGATGTGGGGGCTGGCAGGAGGAGCAGAAGCTGTGGCCGGGAGGCAGCAGCTGTGTGGTGAGAGCAGGTGGCTCGAGGGAGGCAGTGTAGGGTGCAGATGTGTCAAAGCCTGGGAGTCTGAGGGTGCTTGAGGGCAGTGGAGGATACAACTCTGTTGTTTAGTGCAGGTGCACATGAGCTTTGTTTTAATAATGAATCAGCTGGATGGTCATACATGTACCTCTGGCTATGCAAGGTATGTGGTATGTGGCTGTTTTGTGTTACTGTGTCTCAGAAAAACTGGTAATGGCCATTATAAGGGATACATTGTAAAATTAAAATTCTTGTTTTCTTGCGATGTCAGCTCCACATGTGTTCTTTACTTTGGGAACCTCAACCTGACTGGGCCTCCCTTCAGCCCACCAGCCCAACAGGCAGGTACCAGGCCACACCTGTCATGTCAGCATTTTGATCACTGAGGCAAGGAAACTACTGGAAGGCTCCAGGAAGATTATGTTTTCAAATATGATCCGCAAAATTTTCTGAAGCTGTCACAAAGTAACTTACTATATAAATGAGAAAGGGCCCAGGCACGGCACCTGCCTCACAAGCGCAAGGTCCTGAGTTTGATACCAGGTGCCAAGAAAAAAAAAAGAGAGAGAGAGAGATGAAAATGAGAAACTCTGTTAAAATTAATATAATTCTTCAAGCTTTGTTTTCCAGAAGTTTGTTTTCCAAAAATCTAATGATGTGATCTTACTCCTCAAGAGCCTTCCCAGCCCCATGAAATCATAGAATGTGTACAGGATTACCTGCCCATCGGCCCTCGGCAGCCTGAGCAGAATGAGCCCCAGTGTACAACCTGATGTGAGAAATTTTCACAGGACATCGAGGCTGGTACAACCTTCAGGGGGAGGAGGGTAACAGGTATACCAGAGGCAACTTTGTGAATGATATAAAGCATGCATATCCTTCAAAAATACTGTCACTTTTCAAAATGTTGTTTTTATTTTATTATTACATGTTGGCAGTATATAAAGCTGAGATTCACCTTCAGGAACAGGGACAGGTACATAGCACAGTTTGATCCTTTTTCTTTTCCAATTGAGTTTATTGGTACATTTTAGGTATACAGTACAGTTACAGTCATCATTGGGATCTTGTACCTTTACATGACAGGTCTTGGTTCTCATTTTTTCCCCTTGTCCCTGCCCACCCTTCACCCACTGCTGCCTTCTCTATTTACAAATACTTTATTTCCATTTTTCATTTTCTCATATTTTTATTCTTTTCCCTTATTACCTTTCCCCGACCCTTCCCACTTCCCCTACACCTTTAGCCCCTTTCTTCCTATTTCACACTGCCAATTATATTAGGATCTTATGTACCATTATCATTTTTCACACTAGAGAAGCTATTTAGTATTTATATATATGTGACTTATTTATTTCACTTAGGAGTATATCCTTGATTTGTGTCCATCTTCCTGTGAATGAATCTAATTTCACATTCTTTATGGTTGAGTAATATTCCATTTTATAGAAAAACCACATCTTTATCCAGTTTCCAACTGATGGGCAAATGGGCTGTTTCCAAATTTTAGCTATTACAAACTGTGCCGCTATAAATATAGGTGTGCATATATCACTGTGATATGATTCTTTTAATTCTTTTGGAAAGATATCCAGCAGAGGGATGGCTGGGTCAAACGGAACCTCTAATCGCAGCTCTTTGAGGCATCTCCATATTGATTTCCATAGTGGTTGCACCAGTCTGCACTCCCACCAACAATGGAGAAGGGTTCCTTTCTCCCCATGACCCCACCAACATTTATTATTGATTGATTTCTTGATAGCAGCCATTCTTTGTGGGGTGAGGTGGAATCTCAGTGTTGTTTTTATCTGCATCTTTCATATGACCAGTGATGTGGAACATTTTTTCATATATTTACTTGCTGCTTTTACTTCTTTGTCTGAGAAATGTCTGTTCATTTCAGATGCCCATTTTTGAATTGGGTTTTTATATTTTGGGGGGGCTGATTGTTTTTAGTTCTGTATATATTCTAGATAAGAGCCCTTTGAGGAGCAGCTGGTAAAATTTTTTTTCCCACATTGTAGGTTGTCTTTTAGTTTTGTCGATGGCTTCTTTTGCAATGCAGAAGCTTTTTAGTAAGATGAGATCCCAGTTTTTTATTCTTTCTGCTAGTTCCCATACTACTGAGGATTTGTTCATAAAGTCTTTTCCTATGCCCATGTCTTCAAGAGTTCTGCCTAACTTATCTTCCAGCAAATTTGGTGACTTTTTTTTAATAATTAGATCTTTAATTCACTTTGATTTTACTTTAGCACATGGTGAAAGATAAGGGTCCAGTTTTAATCTTTGGCAGCTTGAAATGCAGTTTTTCAAACACAATTTATTAAAGAAACTATCTTGCCTCCAGTGAGAATGGTCTGCTCCTTTGTCAAAGATGATGTAGCTGAGTACATCTGGAGTGGTTTTTGTGTCTTCCAATCTGTTCCACTGATCCTCAGGTCTGTTTCTTTGCTAGTACCATGCTGTTTTTATCACAGTGGCTTTGTAGTATAGTTTCAAGTTGGAAATTGTTATACCCGCTGCTATGTCTCTGTTGTCTAGGATGGCTTTGGCTGTTCTAGGTCTCTTCTAGCTGCAAATGAATTTTTGGATTCTTTTTTTCTAGTTATGTAAAATATAGTGTTGGAATATAAATCAGCATTGCATGGAATCTGAATAGGAGTTTTGGTAGTATGACCATTTTCACTGTGTTGATTCTTCCTACCCAGGAGCAGGGGATATCTTTCCATTTTCTTATATCCTCTTTGATCTCTTTTTTCAGAGTGCTATAGATTTCAGCCTGGAGGTTTTTTGCTTCTTTCATGATTGATTCCTAGGTACTTCATTTTTTGGATGCTATTGTGAAAGGAATTACTTCTCTAATTTCTCTCTCAGTGAGTCTGTTATTTGTGTACAAGAATGCTATTGATTTTTGAGTGTTGACATTGTATCCAGCTATTCTGCTGAAAGTGTCAATTAAATCTAGAAGTCTTTTGGTGGAGTTTTTTGGGTCTTCAATGTAGAGTATCATATTTTTAGCAAATAGTGACAGTTTAACTTCTTCCTTTCCTATCTTTATTGCTTTAATTTCTTTCTCTTGTCTAATTGCTGTGGCTAATATTTCTAGAACTGTATGGAAGAGGAGTGGTGATAGTGGGCATCCTTGTCTTTTCCCTGATTTTAACCTGAAGGTTTTCAGGTTTTGGCCATTTAATATGATG